GAGTCCCAGAAGAGTTCTATATGGAAGTCGGTAAGGGGCTCATTGAGTTAGGGTCATAAGTCCGACCCTGAAGACTTGGCCATCGCCACATAACTTTTTGTTTTATTTTCTTCTTTTTTCTATCGGAGGGCAATTGCAAGAATGAATTTTTTTTTTATATTGAGAGCTTTTAGGCCAAAAAAAAGTCGCCGGTTTCTGGTATGGAGCTTGCCCAAAAAGTGGTGCGGCAACGCGGCTTTTTTTTTTTTACCTGTCTTTTTTTGGTTCAAATGTCGGCCGATGACTGCAAATGGTGCCCGACTAAACTTAGTGCAAATATATGGGAGTCCGGAGAGGCCACATAAAACTTATTCTCGATCATAACCCCATCTAAAAAAACACGTTTAAATTGTGCAGCAGCAGGATTCCAGTCAAACCAGTGAGTTGGCGGTTTTAAGACATCATCTTTTATTGAAAAAAAAACTTTTCATTTTGCCGACGCGCATGGCTACGGCGACGCGCGCGCATACCGGAAACCGGAGACTTTCTTTTGGCCTTACTGTAATCGTTCGAAATTAATTTTAAAATTGCTCGAAAATTCGAAATTCAATCCAGCTGTAATTTTTTATTCCATTGGCGCAAACTGCATGTACATGATCAGTACCTTTGGGCATACCTTGTTCAGACCTGTTCCCTGATCCCAGACTGCACTGGGGGGGGGGGGGGGTCTTTAAATCCTATAGTGGATTTTTTTTATGTTTTTATATTTTTTATATGCACAGCTGTAGCTGTCAACCCCGTATATGAAGCGACTTCGCGCGGCAGCTTGTGCCGACATGACAGAATGTACAATATTTTGCCATGGGTTTCAGATCCGGATTTTAGCTTCGCGGAGTTTTGAGCAGCGGTGTTTATTATTTAAATTCTCCACTTTGTTCTTATTCCCTCTTTCTTTCCCCTTCCTTCTCCATTCTTCGGAACACTGGTGCCTAGGGCCTACGAAACACTTAATCCGGGCCTGGTTGGGGGGGGGGGGGTCTGACTCTAGAAGGTGTTATTCAAACAGGTCTAGGCCTAAGTGTCGATACTTACGGTTTCTCATATTCACAAACGCCAACAGTCTGTCGCGGCGGGAGAGCTTTTTCATCCATGTCTGGGCAATCCTGAGCCTGACAGAGGCCACAGACAGCCAGTGTGACAAGCAACCAACAAAGATCCATCTTCTCTCCACCAAAGACTCCACAGTCTCTGGCCCAACTTTCCACCCTACTACGAGTTTTGTTGTTTATGCCAGTGCGTTTACATGTTTTGTTTTGCATTTTTTGACTTCTAAAGCATTTCAAGAAATTCCATTCGAATTCCAAAACAAAGACAACTGTTTTCCCTTGCTTGTCGCTATCGCTCCTTTTGTTCTCGATATTGTGTTTAATCAAACAATGGTTTCGGTCTATGAGAAACGTTTGTGGTCATTGATTGTTTTGCTGCTGAAATAGGTATTTTGTAACAAAATGAAAGTGATGCGATGATCATACATTTCGGAATGTCACCACGAAAGTCATCGGCGGCCGGGGTGGGGTGGGTTACCGCAAGGAGATTCCACCCCTTCCCTCTTGAATACTTTTTTTTTATTCGCTCAATTTTTGATACATGGCATTTGGGGTCCACGTTTTTCCCCCTTTTTCCCTGTTACATCTGACATCTTAATTCTGATGCGCTCCTTAATGAAGTCATTTTCCAAAAGTGATGATGAAGAGGAAACTACCTACCCCAACAATGAGAAATCGTTTTTTGAGGAAGTATTTTTCAATGATTGGCATACTTCGCTGCCAAATTACAAAGGTATAACAGGGACAGATTAATGTTATACTTTAGACACTTTCAAAAACATTCCTTCGTTTTTTTTACGCAAGCTGATATAAACAGAGGTTTTAGAGTCTGGTATTAATAATTTACTATTTTCAGCTTGATATAAATTGTGTGAACTGTTTCGGTTATTCTTTAGAATTCTTTGTTTGCTTTGATTGAACGGAAGTTATGCAAAACATTGCATAATTTGTCCAAATGACATTGCTTTACAGATGTCTACAAAACCTTTTCTCAGAGACACTAAGCTGTCATGCTCAAATATTCATCACTTCTCATCCCCTGGCGAACCCCAACACATTTTTATTTTCGAAATCAAAATTTCTCAAAAACGTCAAAACTAAGCTTCGTATTACGTCAATGATCTGTTGACAAATTTCATTTAATGATTTCCGCATGCAAGGGAAACATGCCTTTTTAAAGGGAAAAAACTACTACACTCCGCATCTATCAAAATTCAAGATTTCAGGAATTAATATGAAGTGAGACTGCGGGAATTAATATGAAGTGAGACAGATTTTAAAAAAATCTTATATCTATCTTATCTGCCAATCATCGTGCAATTTGTAATTGTGCCTAAAAGTAGCGTTTTGTGTTCGGAAATATATTTTTACCCAGGGAGCTACGATCTAACCGCAAGGACAAATTTCAGCTTCATTTTGACTGTGTCAAATATTTCCTTCTAAAGGCCCCATATTATTTCTTCGCAGAAACTGCGCATGCTTCACAAACCCACCGCTTAAAAAAACACTGGAATCGATATGATTGACAGGAAAAATAGATACTAAAACTGCTAAAACATTACAAAGACCTTATAATCACCACCACCCCCCCCCCCCAAAAAAAAAATTGGGGGATAACAAAACATTTTTTTGTCGATACCGTAAGTGTTGATAACAAGGCATTCCATCAGCAGATTGTACACAACATACCCAGCTCTAATCAGACACTAACCCCTGCTTGAACCCAACCCATGAAAGCTGAGGATATTCTTTACACCACAACGAATCATGTTTGCAAAGTCAACTTTTTTCCCCAAATCACTTGCCACGCCCGTACCAATCAAGGGTGGGGGTGTGCCGACAGACAATTGCGTGTACAGCTCCAATTAGATACCGATCGTCCACCACGTCCGTACTTTCGAAATTGCATGATGCAGGAGATAATGGCCGGGCGTTAAATGCGGCTAAAACAATTCGTGCTCATGCAGATATTTATACAGCGCCCCTGGAGACATGGCATCCAGTTCTCCCCTCTTCTCCCTCCCTACTCCCGATTTACCACCGGCCGTACGGACAGAGTTTGAGAAGGACATCATATCACACCCACGAGAAGGACGTTTCTGAAAACCAAAGTACAAAGTTTATAATCCAACTAATATTAAACGCCACGGGACTATAGTTTAGGCACTAGTTGACAGTTGTTAAAGTCATCAGTGGCTGTCACGACCGCGCCTGTGTCAATGTTGCGATTGCAACATAGGCCTAGTCATAATGAGGAAGGAATTCTTGCTATTGCACTACAGCCCTACATACTGTATCGCTATAGTCTAGATAGCCATCTACGGTCTTGCAATCCTTGCAGCAATAATTCTAGATGCAATGTTATTGTCGGACCCCATTCCAATGCAACCATACCGCCGCGGCGTAGGATGACAAGTACATTGGTTATTCAGCGCAATCAACAGAGAGCGCAGCTTATTTTGAGAATTTTAACACTTTTTTCCGTCAACATATCACTCCCTTGAGCAGCACCGATATCATTGTGATAAATCTTGACATCACGCACAGACGTAGTCCTAACTCACTCATCAGCATACTGATGACATTGACAACCAGTGCCTAAACTTTTCAAATTCCCGCGGCGGCAAGGGGCGGCCGCGCGATACGCCCTCATCGTTCAGTATTAGTTAGAATATAAAGTTTGTCCTTTGGTTTTCAGAGACGTCCTTCTCGTGTGTGTGATGATGTGCTTTTCAAACTTTGTCCGTACGGCCGATGGGAAATCGACTGTAATTAGACTAGCGTCTAATTCCGTTTTGCAGGTGAGACGTTCGTTTTTATCAAGTTGAATGATGTAGTGATCATTGTTTTGTTCTTTGTTTGATTTTGACTTTTATTTCTGTTTTAATAAATACTTTGCTTGTTGTTTTTGTCCTTTGTTCGAGTTTGTCTCTTCTTTGGTAAACTGTTTTATTGATTATTATTTTGTCTTTTTTTTTGTATATATGTTGTTCTTTTCTTAAACGTGTTCTTTGATTTCAAATTTTGTCCTGTATGCCTCTTAATGCGTCTGTTTTACATCTTATTAATTTTGGCCTTTTTGGCCGGCCATACGGCTTGAGTGCCAATAGCTCATATAATAAGTTATAACCTGAGTCGAGAAGATGCCATTTATAAACCTTTATTTGCACTACCAGCAATATGGGCCTACATACACCAATTGTAACAAAGTAACACAACACACCAATTGTAACTAAGTAACACAACATTAAACATTAACACACCTTTGCCATTGTAAACTAGAAAGCACTCACAGAGCGCAAACCTCCGCCAAGGCTAAACAATTCCCCGCCATATTGTCAGTACACCCAAAAGAAATAATCGCATAAATGGTGAAGAATCCTTTAAAAAGTGCCTGGATCCAGACCCAGATTGGGATCACTTCCAAAATGTAATGGATTTGTACTTGTACCTGAGTTATCTTATTAACAGAAAAACCAACCAACAAACAAACAAGCAAACTAACCAACGCCAATGAAAACATAACCTCCTTGGCGGAGGTAATAAAGTAGCATGATTACGACCTAGTTTAAGATACACAATAAAAAAAAACAATCCACAGATTACATTATGTTTAAAAGCTTAATAGTTTTTCGGCCATTTTGACGAAATACAGCTAACAAGCTAAGAAGTTAAGTCACATTCAAGACGGTTCCGAGGACACGCTGTACGCTCGTGGAAGACCCCTTCAATTGCGAAAGCATTGTGCCAGCATGACGACTTACCTAAATAATATCTAGCACTTCCATTGAAGGGGTCTTCGTACCGTTCTTGTTATCCATTAAAACAAATTAGTGTCCCATGGGCATATATTATCTTAAACAGTAAAACAAAACGTGTATACATAACGGTCCTTTGGGTAGTTATGACTCATCGTATGTGCTTACAATAAATTGATAAATCAAAATCCATTTATTACTTACACGGCATAAAATGTATTCCCGAACGTGTAATAAATGTACTGTGCATGATTGGCAAAAAAATGCATGGTTTATATTCATGCCAACGATGAAAGCATTAGATATATAATATCACAAAGTAATCACTACTATGCAAATCTGGTGGACAGGCAATACCGGTACCTTAAGAAAAATATGTCAATTAATATGAAAGTACGTGGGCAGTTCCTTAGAAACCAGTAGGCCCTAGGATTATTATTGGAAAACACTAAGGCCAAAAAAGAGGCTCCGGTTTCTGGCATGCGCGCGCGTCGCCGTAGCCATGCGCGTCGGCAAAATGACTTTTTTTTTCAATGAAAGATGATGTCTCAAAACCGCCAAACTCACTGGTTTGACTGGAATCCTGCTGCTGCACAATTGTAACGTGTTTTAAGATGGGGTTAGGATCGAGAATAAACTTTCTGTGGCCTCTCTGGACTCCCATATACTTGCACAAAGTTTAGTTGGGCACAATTTGCAGTCATCAGCCGACATTTGAAGGGGAAAAAACGGTCAAAAAAAGCCGTGTTGCCGCACCACTTTTTGGGCAAGCTCCATACCAGAAACCGGAGACTTTTTTTGGCCTAATAACACTTAATAACAAAATATATTAGACTAGGCAAGTCTATAGTAAAGTCGCACAGAATTTCCACTGCACGGCCTGAGTGCCAATATAGCTCATACACTAATTCCAGTTCTGAGTCGATGAGATTTTATGTACAAACCTTTCTTTGCAAACATAATGAAGGCTTACAACAATGCAAACTTAGTACTATAAAATTACAAATTAATACAACTTTGCATAGTAAATAAAGCAGTATATTGTTGTTGTCGTAGAAACATCCTAAATCTTTTTCCAAAGATAACATGTTTTTAAAAACTTATAATTTCGTCTTTCCACAATTTGCTTTTTGTTACGAGCTCACAGCTAACAAGTTACATATTATAGACCGCTCCAAGGACATCATGTACGCTCGTGGAGCCCCCTTCAATGGCAGAAGCATTGTACATGTACGGCTTATCTTAACAATGGCACAGTGCTTTTGACATTGAGGGCGCATCGGTACTTTGAGTGCTCAGCGATAGCGTGCTCGGAATGGTTTACACCAGGTGTGTTTTTTTTACAATGATACGAAAATTATTATCCACTAAAACAAAGTGACCCATAGGTATATACTATATAATATATATCATCATAATAGCTTGAGTATAACATGTTAATGTGACGTATAGGTTTTTCTAGTTACGTGCAACAGTAAAACAATACGCAGCCTATGTCTGAAATGAAAATGATAACTCAAAACCCACTTAATATTTACACGGCATGTGTATCCCCGGATGTGTATTAACAAATTGTACTGTACATGATAGTGCTAAAAAAAACTACGTGGAATATATTTATATTCTAAATTAGGCCAGCGATACGGGCATTACGTATATATCATTAAAATGAATCACTACTGTGCAAATTTGCTACACTGGAAATACTTAACAGTACTTAGAAAAAGACGTCAAGATGGATTTATGTGGGCAGCTTTCTTATAGAAAGAGTAGGCCCTAGTATGCATTGAATTACAAAATGTATGATGCCTTTCTGGAAGAAAACAAGACATGTAAGTCCATTTAATCTGGTCGTAGAGCGTACAGAATGGCTACATCCTGGAAGGTTTTTATTCCATGCATTTTGATCTGCGCAACAGGCCAGATTTAGCCCATTCATTAGCGTTACAGGGTAAGCCCAGTACGACAGCATTGCCCGGCTCACACGTACAGTCATGTGTCAGTGAGTAAAAGAAACCCTGGTTTAGATTCTAGGAGTTGCTTATTAATCAGCAAAGATTAACGAAAGCAGAATGGATTTTTAACAGCATGCTATAATCCATCATTATATATCCAATCAAATTTCCGTATTTCTACTCACAAAGTATTTTTCTTTCTTAATTATTTATTATTAAGTATATAGTATTTCAGGCAAATACAATACATACACCGATTTGGAAAAAAAAACAAGTAAACAGTGCACAGCAGGGATAAAATGATAACATATCAGTTAAAAACAAAACATCGAATGTTATAGGCCTATATGAGTTATAAGGACGAATATACAAGCAATACAAAACACACTCCTGACGGATAGCCAAAAAGCTATAGACTTTCCACAGGCTTTTCAACTGCGAAAGCAAAACAAAACAAGTGAACAAAGCAAATACGAAAGTCATTGTTTGCTATACACATGATGATCACTTATCATTACCTTCTTTTTTTGTACTTAAAACTGTTCTCAACATCTCCTATACGGTTTGTACACGAACATCTGCCCAGGACTTGGCTTGGGTCCTCGGGGTTATTTTTATCACATGAAAACCATTGTCCCAATTCCTCAGACGTAAGAGATAACAGTTCACATACAATATAACAAAACGGTGTTTAACAAAACCGAATCTAACAAAAAACAGGTGAAGCTTAGAAGAATGTCAACCTAATTTTGCCAACAAATTCCATATTATCACCCATTCGGCACCTCGAATTTGGATAACATTATGTGTCTCATTGTTTCAAGCAATGACATGGAATGACTCAGATCCATTTTACCAATGAATGTTAATGTAAAACAGCTTTCAGTTTCAAACGAAATTGAATTGGATCATTATTATTAAACGTCCTTCTTTCCAAAATTGACCAGGAAAACATCTGCTAAATATATACGTCAATGTTCATGACCCCCCAGCGCTTGCCATTTCTGCTATAAAATATGTAGCTGAAAAATGTTTGTTTCAAAAACTGTACGTATAATAGGCATAGACCACGTTGTATAGGCCTAAGATTTGATAAGAGCCAACTTAGGACGTATAGGCCAAGCTTGTGCCCTACCAGCCACTCCGTTTCTGTTATTAACTATGTACCGTTTTATTTTGGGAGCGTTCTTTTCTTCGGTGTGCTGGTAGATGATGGGTCCCTAAACTTACTTGGGCTGACCCTGGGGCTCCGGGCTTCATAAGATTCATGTCGCTCATCAGGGTATTCGAAACTCACCTGATCCTGAGATCTGCAAATATCAAACAGAAAGAAGATTCACACAGTCAACAATTAGACGTTACATCGGAGATCTGACTGAAGATTCAGGCAAGGGATTCTGCGTAAATTGGATTCGGATCTCGTTAGGGGCCATTCAAAATTGTCAGTGTGTTTAAATTTGGATTTTGTTTCCAAATTGTTTTGACCCACCCACCCACCCCTATTTTCGATTTAAAAAACCCTGATTTGTTATGCAGTTTTAAAAATCCAAATACGTGTATAGTGGTGTTCCCTAACGTGGCGCACTTCGACATTTAGGCCGAATTTCCACATCAGTGTTGCCAAACTTCTTTGTTGACAAACTTTAAATTCATTCAGTGAAATACTGGTACATTTACCTTATTAATGCTTGCTATTTAACCTCTGTGAACAATTTCGGTTTCATGGAATTTAGTCCGCAATTCAAAAACTGTGGAGAAATTGGGCAAAATAGGCTTAGTGTTCCCAAACGTGGCGCACTTGAATAAATGACGGAAACTTCCAAATTGACATTTAAGAATTTTTGTAAAGTTGATAAATTCTGATAAACAATTATTATCTCTACTTACATACCCAACTAAAAGTTTGTCAGAAAATTATTTTCAATTTTTTTTTTTTTTTGGGGGGGGGGGACATTTTCAAAGGGTTCCCTGAGCACTTCGAAACAAAATCACGGAAAATCGGAAAATCACGCCAAAATAAAATGTTCTTCTAATTTTGTAACAGGTAGATAAACTCGTAATTTATGAACGGGAGTGTTTAGAACTTGATGAAATTTCACTTTCTGTGAAATTTCAGTTACAACTTTTGCTCTAGCTAGGCGCTACATGCGAAAAATCAAAGTGCGCCACGTTAGGGGCCGCGCCACGTTAGGGTACATCAACCGTACATGCACTTGCATGCACACACATTTGTAAACACCGGCAATCGTGGACGCCCTATCGCCCTAATCCTCATTCCTTTGTTTATACCCCTAACTTTTTAGCAACAGCTCTCATTGGTTTTGTACACGAATTTCAATCGTGGACTATCGGTCACTTGTGCACGTATTGTTTGCGCCCGTGTCCTAGGTCCTCGATTACCGGTGTGTGAATACTCATGTGCACACAGTACACAATGTACATGTACTACAGGTCATTCTGTACGTCTGTATGACTGTATCGTCTGACCGTCGGTATTGGGAACGAAGTTGGAAAACAAACGCGCATAAGGAACGCTGGTGCGTAGGCAAGACAAAATATCTAGCTTTTTGTTTTTTCTTGTTTTTTTTTAATGAAAAGAGAATTTGGATTTTCAATTATTTACCTTGACCCATCCCACTCACAATATGGAGGAAAAAAAATCCAAATTTAAAAACATTGAATTGTCCCTACTTTTCGAAAATACAAAAATCAGCCGCTCGCACGCTAGGTGCACTTTGCGTAAACGTTTGGGATCCCATCCCTACGCCTACCAAAAGGTTGCTGTGGAGAAAACCCTTATTATGATATTTAGGCATTCATCCTAATTAGCACATTCATACAAACTAAAGTTAGATTGACGCCCTTCTCCAAGATAATGGGTCGTATGTATAAAAACTAGCAACTGCTTTCCAGTAAAAGCATTTGTTTCATGTTTATTCATACAAATGCAAGTAAATGCATGAAAATAGGTAGTAAAAGCAAATGCTAGTTTTTATACATACGACCCAATGCCACAGATCCACGTTATATATTATTTTCTTTAAATGCGACTTACCTGGATAAACGGTGACCCGTGTCGTTGCCCACATGTTTCTTTATCACATTCTCGAAAGATCGGTTGAGTCGGCCATCATCAAAGTAATCATATATCGTGTCGGAAAGGTCTCGCAGCCTGGAAACAAATGTAAACCGAGACACTCTTTACATTAAATCAAATAAAAAATACTCTCCGACTTCCACATTGCTTCTCTGGAGTTTCATTGACAATTCTTAATAGAACAATTAATGTTGGAATGTTTTTAAGTTTTTCACTGGCTCAGTGGCAGGCTTCCCGATTGGCTGCATGTGCGATGTCAAGTCCCAAAAAGAGCGCCCTCTAGCGCCCTCAAAGAAAGTTAAACTTTTTAAATTTAAAACCAGTTTTCACAAGTTTACTAAATATTGTTCCGCAGGTAACTTTGAGAAGTTTCAGGGTACTTATAGTGAAAATTAGAAAATTATCGATTATCTTTTTATAAAAAATCAATTTCATCTTTATAATTAATTCGTATCCAGCGGCGATGTTCGTGGCACAATAATGTCACAAAATGTTGTCAGCTCCATTGTTGCCGTGTCGTCATCAAAGGAAAGCAAGGTGGTATCAACACATACACTAATACATTCGCGGTGTAAAGTTTATATTTTCAGTCTGTCCAAAACAAAAACCATTTTCATTTTGCGAATTTTCAACTGGTGACGACATCAAACCGGGAGTCACGTTTAACTAACATTAAACCTATCAACCCCAATACGACAAAAGAACTTTCAAAATAAAAGAAATTGCTACACTGGAAAAGGTTCATTTTGATTATTTTTGTTTGGACGAAAAATATTTATAATGAACTGGGCAATGTCAAATAAAGTAGTTGTCTGTCCGATCACCCTGCGTGTGTATCACACTAATTTCATCCCTTATTAAGACTCACTTCTTTTGCATTTGTTCCAGTTTCACGTTTGTCGCCTCGCTCTCTGCCTTCTTCTTCTCGGCCAGATAATCTCGACAGTTTACCTTCTCCCAGGCGGTCATCTCTGCGGCCTCCCTGGCCTCCATTTTCTTTCCTGACGGAGTCAACAAAAGGAATTTTAATGACTTTTATGGTGTTTTAGCAGGGATCTAACGGTACTTTGAGTTTGTTTCCATGAATTAAACACTAAACGTTCATGGCGGATCCATAGTTTTCAGGAAACAGGTGTGGGGTATGCAGGGGTGGTTGAGTGAAGCCGTGCCAAGGGCACGTCTTGATAGGGCCGGGGAATCATCGGTCTACCCCCGGTAAATGTTTATATATACGGTGTTTCTCCTGCATTTAAAGTCAGTTTGAGAATTAATTTATTATTTTTGGTACCATTCTACTACATGTAGTATCAAAACATTAGACGGCTGAACGGGAGGGGGTTGCATACAAGGGGCCGGGTGCTAGACAGAGTTGTAATGACTCGAGTCAATGACTCGACTCGAGTCCGACTCGAGTCACATTTTTTGGCGACTCGACTCGACTCGAGTCCCGACGGGTAAATGACTCGACTCGACTCGAGTCACTGCGAGCAAATGACTCGACTCGACTCGAGTCCCTCATCAGAATGACTCGACTCGACTCGAGGAAGGCTAATAAGACTCGAGTCCCAAAATAAAAGCAAAACTTACTTGCGAAAAATATTTGCAATGACTTACGCTGCGCCGTTCGCGTTGCCAGTTTTTGTTCACGTCACGTTAATGTTCGCGAATAATGTACGTTTATATACAGCGGCAGTCTGTTTCCTTCCTCCATAATGAAACAACAAACATACACCGTGTCGCGGACTCCCACATTGTGGTTCTATAGCATGTAATGCTAAACCCGGAACCAGACTTAAAACGCATTTCTCAATCCGTGGTTTCATCATTGGTTTCGGGCGATTTTGAAGTTCTTGGTGGAACGCTGGCTAAATTCATGTCCCGATTTCACACACAAAAATGGATACGGACGGGCCCACCTTTAAATAATCAGAAACAGTTTTGTATAATGCAATTAGGTTTTAACGTTGTCAGCGATCAGCGAACAACAAAATCTAGACCCGAAGCCAAACCAGTTATAAGACCGAAGTTTCACATCTTCTTATCTGTGACGTGAGCTAGCAATGGAAACGGTTGGTTGGGTACCATACAGCATACTTTATGTCTTTGGATTTCCGTAATAGACTGGTGCCTTGTATTCTTTCTCTCTTGTGTTTGTTGCTTTTTATTGTAATTAAGTGTTCAAATATTTGTGACTCGAATTGACTCGAGCTAAATACTTGACTCGACTCGACTCGACTCGACCACACTCTGTGACTCGACTCGACTCGACTCGACCTTGTTGACCTAATGACTCGACTCGACTCGAGTCACTTCTTTAAAATGACTCGACTCGACTCGAGTCACAAAAATCAGTGACTCGTTACAACTCTGGTGCTAGATCACATAACATGAATTTTGAACAGCAGCCTGAGATCAGAAGGAACGTGCATGTCACATGAAAACCAACAATAAGCGAGAACTAACGAACAATAACTCGGTTAACCACTTAATTAAAACCTGTATTAAGCAAAGAGACAAGACCGTAGGTCTTATAAAAATGATCTGATACACCGTGCCCCCTGGAGACGTGCACATAATAGGGAACAAAAGATTGTATACGTCTCCACAGGGCAATTTCTATAGATGAATACAGGGCAATTTCTATAGTCTCCACAAGGTTTTCACGAAATAGATATATGGATTTTACTCAAAAACTAGGAATTTCCAAGGTGGGTTGATTTGTCGCAAATGGAAGAGTTTTAAAAATGGGATATTAAGTCCGAATTTCAGCCAAGGAAATTAATTCTGGTTAAAATAAGAGCAATTTGGAACTTCACTTTCAAACTCGAAAACTTTATTACACGAGAACAAAGAAATGTCTCCACAGTGATACAAATTTCAGTAGGTGTGTGTAAGTGTGTGTACAAGCATTACATTCACTGTGTGGACTTCCGAACAAAAGATGTCCACACAAACCAGTTTTGAGACACGTTGTGTGGACTTGACCACCTCCACACAAGGTGAAGTTCCCCACTCTGGAAAGCAGGTTTAGAGATATTTTTGGGTTTGGTTTTATCCGGTGCAAAATGAAGAGAAACACTCGGGGTTGGTTTGGATTGTTAGCCAAAAGCAAAATATCAACTCAGACTTACTAATGAGATTCGGAGCCCTGTACATTTTGCATTCAGGAAAGTAGCGATCCCACACGTAGCGTACCAGTTGATACAGATGAGCAGCCAAGATGAAAGGTGAAACGATCGGGGGTCGCCGGTAATATTCCTTGATTAACTGGTATCTCTGGTACTTCCAGTATGCGTCAGTGTTTTCCTGAATCGCTGTGAAGGTGTAGCTATTAAAATTGCAAATAAGAAAAGGATGTAAATCAAATTAGGTTTTGCCCTTCACCGACGTTTTAAACACTGTATACTCAGTGTGTTACCTCCCGAGTGAAAGTTGGAAAAAATCACTCGGGTGGGACCAGTGGCGTACGCAGGATTTTTTCAAGGGGGGTGTTTCAAAATTGGATGTCATCATTTATGACGCTAGAAATGAAGATGGTAAATTGTGTTGGCGCCCGAAATAAAAATAGTATCAGTGGGCTAAACTTAACGCTAAAATAAAAGTCGGGAGTTTGTGTTGGCGGCAAACATAGTAAATCGAAAAAAACAAACCATGTTCTGTGGCTTATGATGAACATATGAGTAAAGGGGTCAATGTGGGCAGTCCCCTCCCTCAACAAACAGCATTTAAACAAAAAAAAGAAGAAATTCAAGAAAAAAGTGACACGGGCTGCGGAAGTGCTAGGATCTGTTCTTGTAATTGGCTAAATTTACTCAGCTTCGTCCCCTGGATCTCATGATTCTCATCCGTTGGGAATCTAATTCTTTGTGTAAACCGCCCCCACCCCTAAGGCCAAACTCCAGATACAGGATACAAATGCGCTCTGGTCACAGGGGCGGATTCAGACTGCCATTTGCCGGGGGGGGGGCCTACAATTGTAATGAAGGGTCCAGGACCTGCGAGCGCGCAGCGCGAAGCCCCTACGGCGTGGGGTCCGGGGCCCGCTTAAGGGCCCCGGGAAAAAATTGGATTTTAGATGCTCTGTGGTGCAATCTGAGGCGATTCCTGGCCACTTCCACCGTTTAAAAAACGTTTTAAACATCGAAAATTCCATTAAAATTTGTTATTTTTTTTTGTTCTTCATTTAGTTTGTTATGTACTCAAAGTTGAGAACCATGTTCCATCTCCGTATTTTTTCACAATTTTCTATTTTGGAAAGGGATTTAGGCCCCTTGTAGTCCGAGCCTCAGCCATTCGCTGAATGAGGTACAAATAAGGTGGGGGCACCGCTAGGGTGAAATTAGCATAGAGGGAATTTGGCCGGAGGACTAATGCAAGCGCGGAGCGCGAAGCACTTACGGCGTGGGGTCCGGGGCCCGCTTAACCCTAGAGGGGCCGGGTTATTTTGACCATTTCTCAGCTGGGGGGGGGGGCGGATTCCGCCCCCCTAAGATCTCGGCCATCGAGTGACGAAAAATTTTGAAACTCGGCACATGCATAGAGCAACTCTTCCTAAACATACCCAAGAAATTTCATGACTATAGGCCAAAGGGTTTTGGAATTATGGCTAATTAATTATTCATATGTACGAATGGCAATTCTGCTCTGTGTACACGACGTATATACGAAAATTCAGTTTTCACGGCGCGTAGCGCCGGAAATTTTTTCGCTACGCGACAACCCGTGGTCCGATTTTTATGCATTTGGTATCAAAAGATGCGCAAAGCTCGAGGCTAAAAAGTCGGGTCGCGAAATTTTTTTTTAAAGGCTATCACGGAAAATGTTGGGGGGGGGGGCTGGCGGATTTCGCCCCCCCGGCCCCTTTAGGGTTAAGGGCCCCGGGAAATTTTGGATCGTAGATGCTCTGTGGTGCAATCTGAGGCGTTTCCTGGCCACTTTTCCCCTGATTTTTTTAGCAGAAGTTTTTAAAATTGAGGGGATATTTTGTTTCATTTGTTTCAAATACATATAGGCCAATGTATTCTTGCTCTTATAAAGTGTCTTCTGTATTCAAAGCTTAAAGTTGAGAACATGCACATAATTTGTAATTGTTCCGCGCTCGGTCACATAACTCTCTTTTCCCTCCATATTTTTACATGGCAAAGGGGGGTGTTTAACAGCCAAAACACCCCCCCTGCGTACGCGCCTGGGTGGGACTCGAACCCACGACCTCCTGCTTTCTAATGCAGATGTCCTACCACTCGACCACCGAGCTAACGGGATCGGTTGGCCGGTTCGAATCTGATGTACATAGCCGCGGGTACCGCATAAACTATTATAAGATGGAATTTTTGCGCCGGGGTGATATAAATCAAATTAGGTTTTGCCCTTCACCGACGTTTTAAACACTGTATACTCAGTGTGTTACCTCCCGAGTGAAAGTTGGAAAAAAATCACTCGGGTGGGACTCGAACCCACAACCTCCTGCTTTCTAGTGCAGATGTCTAACCACTCGACCACCGAGCTAACGGGATCGGTTGGCCGGTTCGAATCTGATGTACATAGCAGCGGGTACCGCATAAACTATTATAAGATGGAATTCAATTGTTTTATCTGTAAGTACAAAGAACTTTTATAAGATGGAATGTTTGCGCCGATGTGATATAAATCAAATTAGGTTTTGCCCTTCACCGACGTTTTAAACACTGTATACTCAGTGTGTTACCTCCCAAGTGACAGTTGGAAAAAATCACTCGGGTGGGACTCGAACCCACGACCTCCTGCTTTCTAGTGCAGATGTCTTACCACTCGACCACCGAGCTAAAATTCCATCATATAAGAAAAGGATGCCTGACGCGTCTCAGAAATATATCGCTGACTGTGTGACAGACTATTTTTTAACCCCATCCATGTTAACAAAGTAAGGTAGTATTGTTTATTTCTCCCAAAGAAGTGTGTCCCAAAGAAGTGTGTCAAAGAAGTGTGTTTGAATGAGTTAAACCAGCTCCGGTCTGTGATGGGCGGACTGCTATCCTGCTCGCGAAAGTGGGGTACGAAAACTTCTGTACATGTATTATCCAGGGAGGCAGTAAAATGCACTCATGAAAGACAGTCCCGTATGCAGGATTGTTGTTTGTTGTTGTTGTTGTTGTTGTTGTTGTTGTTGTTGTTGTTGTTGTTGTTGTTGTTGTTGTTGTTGTTGTTGTTGTTTCCCTTAACATCAAAGATAAATTAGTATCTTTTTTAAACCTCGTTCAATCAGGGAAATTTGGATTCCACTTTCATTAACACCAACAAGAACATTTTGGAGACGTTGCAAAAACATAGGCAGAAAAAGGGAAAATGATAGTGGGCTTGGACAAGGCTCGAGTGATTGGAACTTCATAGAGTAGTGTCTATTCAATCGACAAACTTCTCATTTTTTTCGCTTCAGCAACTGGTATGATCTTTCTAAGGAAGTAAAACCTAATTTTTGCATCTGCATCCCTTTGGAAAATAACTGTATTTTGGGTTGCTTTTAAACACAAACAGGTCCGCCCTGCAAATACACTGGTTCACAGTCAGTACATTGGTATTCTAATAGGAGGCGTCTGAGTTCGACATGTCGTAAAGACAAAAACTTCGACTTACTTCAGCATAGCAATGAGGAGGTTAAGAAGCAAGATGTTACTGATAAACAGGTAGACGGCCAAGCTGATCGTAGCAAACCAGGAGGATTGGGGACAGGAATCCATACCCTCTGCAATCTGGGTCTGGTTCGCAGCGCAGTCACCTATTGGCAGAAAGAAAAAGGATATCGACCAATTTCAGTGCCTTTCTAATAAAACACACATGGATTATTTCAGAGTTTTTTAAGAAGCCATGTAAGAATAAATCCTGCAAGCTCTTGTAGGATTTCTTCAAGTTGTTTGCCAGCTTCTATATGATCCTATAGGACGTCTCAAAAGGAGGGTTTAATTTTTAAAAGAAATGGTTAGGCCAAAGGTTTCAAACAGAAACCTACATAGGAGACAATAATACTTACTATCGACGTCCTCCAAGAAGAGTTGTCCATACAGCTGGAAATAAGATCGATACAAGACTCCTCTAGCGATGCTCGCCGGGTGGGTGGAGTTTGGATAGAGTATGGCCTGACAGGCTACTCCATAGCCAATCAGAAACACCGCCAGTATACAGACAAAGCTGGTCAGGTCTAACAGCTGTGACATAAAGAAAGCAAGCGTTAAGAGTTAAGTCAAGTTTATCTAAACGAGATCCTCTCAGTGTTCTTGTCATGGCTAACAGGAAAACTAACCCTGGACAAAGCTACAAAGCAGGGCTGAAAGTCATTTTCCAAACAAGGCTCTGCAGTACAACTGCAGACCTGTTTTTTTATTTATTTTTTTTTGGGGGGGGGCTTCTTACCATCTTTGTGATCATGATCAGTTTCGGACCCAGAAGCTTACTAGCGGAGCAGATGTGGAGAATTCTGAAGTAGAACACCATGAGGTCCAGAGCCAGCACAATGCGCGCAGCATCGAAAGTGGCTGGATGGAATCGCAGACCCACACCAACAGCGAACAAGACCAGGGAGATCAGATCAACACTGTTCCAATAGCCCCACAGCCAGGCTTGGAAACGATGCAGCAGTAACTTGTGCTTCTCCTGCAATATCTGTAGTGAAACAAAATCCAGTAAACAAGAGGGACGGCAGAGTTATGTACTTGGCCAATTTCTATTGCTTAATCCCAACTGCAAACCATGCAACAAACTCTTTTTAAAGATTTGTTTCAATGAAGGGACATTTTTCAAACAATTTGGGGAGTTGCATCTGCAGTCTGAAACTGCCAACATCCTAAAAAGACACTCAACATTTACAGTAGTACACTGCTAATAATAATTATAATACCTGCAAATGAAAAACCAAAAACTAAGCATATTTTATATAGTACGTTCAGAAATTGCGTTAAACAATCAATGATAGCCGGGCTTTTTCATCACTGTGTACAATTATTTATAATGATCACGGGTACTGAACTCGAGATTGATAATTGAAAAAACATAATGGACGAAAATTTTGCAAAAATCGGATGCCAAAAACGGTGAAAATCTTAAGCTTACAATAATTTATTTCGTGTCGACCACTTAATGTATAATGATTTGCTATTTCAGTAATATACTTCTCTGACTCTCCTTTAATTCATCCTAGCTGACCAGTCGAACGCAATTTCAAGAACTCAGTGGACACTCACGCCAGAATGGTAACAACTCATCATGTCTATAATAATTGGCTAAGGGGTGTATTGGGATCAATCCATTCCTGTTCAATCTTTTCAGGTCAACAGTCAAGAGTTCATCTAATCAATAGTCACATTAGCTGTTGCTCGGGTGCTAAACTGAGAGTTGAGATAATTGATAATACCTGTCGTATTTCATCAGTGAAGAGTGTGAAGACCCACACCATGAGAACAATCTCGCAGCCTGAGACCTCCTGATGGAAGTTGGTCAGCATGATGTAGCTAAACAGCAGCAGGAACAAAACCTGGGAAATCTACAATGAATCACATATAAATTTTAACTGTTTAACTGTATCGTGAGAATGGTGACTTTTTCCAAGTCATTAAAACGCTGTTAAATATATGTTTTGAAAATCCAATTCCCTAACTTGTGTTCGTATTCATTAATATAGGTTTTCCCGGCCAATTTCCTGAAAGTTCATTCATTTCTGAAAATCGGTCATTCATTTTCGTCTGAATATGAATGGACGTCTTTAATCTCATTTCAATTCCACAAAATTTCAATCGTTTTCATTGTCCGCGCATTCGGTTTTGAGAAACAGACGGCCAATTATATTTACCTGCGCATTCATATTACGCAAGCGTACCTTTTCGCGCAGAATTCTGGAATACAATTCCGTGAATGTGCAATCAAAAGTGCGTTTTTCTCATTCAAAATAGCAGAGTGCATCACATAACATCGAACTAAAAGTGAAATAGAATGGCTAATGTTTGATAAAGTCCTTAAAAAGTGAAAAGGAAGTCTTGTAAACGAATCTGAATGAGCATAAACGAAAGGTGCTTCTCAATCACTTAATTGATTGAACTGAAATGGAATCGAATAATCTGGTAGCGAAAATGAAACGCGTGTTCAGAGCGATTCTCAAATTCAGGCGAAAATGAATGACCGATTTTCGGAAGTGAGTGAACATTTTAGGAAATTGGCCGGGAAAACCTATATTTGTATAAAACCTATAGTGTTAAAGTTATCAACTTTTTTGCAACAGTTTATAAAAAAACCTGCGCTAGAGGGGCTGAATTGTGAGTCAGATTCACAATGCAAGTAACTTTGTACCAAAAAAAGCCTCAAACACCTGGTTCAAGTTTTGCAGCTGATTGTAACTTATATTTGCCTAGCTTGTCTTTAGCGTAAAAACGGTTAATAGGGTTTTACAGTGTTTGAAATTTCACAAGTTTCCAACTTTAAACACTGCCGAAAAAATAGGCCTAAGCGTTTGTAAATTAAACACTATGTTTAGTTTGATGAAACAGAACCGCTCACGAAGCGTTTAAAATTAAGTTAAACACGACGTTCGTAACATAATCGATAAATATTCAAAAATAGATTTTCTAAACATCTGGACAAAATAGGTTAAATGGATTAAGTTACCACATTGTAGCTGAAGCGTACAACTGGTGCCTCCAAGAACATTTTCAGCCTATGCAACCAAGAGAGAGGATCCCATCCTTCTTTAAGTGGACTGGCTTGTAGCATATGCTGTCTGCAATGAATTGAGAACTATCATTTATGATATATAGTAAGAGTCTCTATTTTCTCAAAAGGAACAGTAACGGAGGTGATGACTTGTAAAGTTGTTATGTTTCGTTGATTACCAACTTATATTGGGTAATTATATTATTGCATAGTGAACATTTTGTCACTCCACAAATATTTGTAAGTTGGCTAATGAACAATCTATCCTTTGTATGGAAGTGGAACTAAGAACATAGAAACATGAGGGCAAACTTGCCTGATGGCGCTTTCTCTTTTGTTCAGCGTCCCAACTGAACCACGAAGACACACTGAATTCTGTCGGGTAATAAATCACTGTCAATTAACTCTTCGACAATGGAATATAATTATAATGCAAACGCAAACATAATTCTCCTCAGGCCAAAAAAAAAAATATTCGGTCTCTGGTCAGACCAAAGTTCCGGAATTGACGCGGGGACGCGGCTTTTTTTTTTGGGGGGGGGTTCTTCAAGCTTGGATTGTACAGACAAGGTGGGGTACTATTTTGCTTTTTTGGTGTCATGTACATTGGTGTCCTCCATAATTTGCCTTGGTGCTCTCGATCATTTGCCTTGGTGCAATTTCTCATTCCTTGGTGCTCTTTTTGTAAAAAAAAGTTGAGGAGGTGCGGCAATAGAGGGCGCTGTTGGAGATACCGCGGAACATTTTGAAAAAAAAAAAAAAGATTGACGCGCATGATTAAAATCGAAGCGCGCGCTGACCAGAGACCGACTTATTTTTTTTGGCCTAAAATCAAGTTATTGACAGCAACATATCGACTTTGTCTGTCTAGTTGCAAATCCAAGTTATACATCTGCCAGCAATAAAATAATCAAGAGGATATTCAAAGAAATACAAAGCTCTTGCGAAATTAACGGCTCGGATGATATAATTAAAAACACTAACCACTTTGTGTTTCATGCTAGAGTAGCTATAGAATCAAGAGTTATCTTTATCTGTACAGTTTTCAAACATTCGTTTACAAATTGGAGTAATATGCAGTGTCTTCTTTGTCTCATGAAAGGGAGCTGTGAATGATCAGCCTGAAGCTGAACACAAATGAGGCATACAGTATTCTGTTGGATACATCTCCAATACTCGAGCAGCTGCTCGGCTTCCAGAATTTGGTGGGGGTTCTCCTTTTAGTCAATTGATAAAATCAATATGTGTTATAATAGGCAACAACAAAAAATGGCCTATAGTTTGTTAGAATTATACCCTTATCTTTATCAGCGTATGATCAGCTGAGTCATCTTGATCATCAGTGAAGGTGATCAGCCATATTAAAACAGACATAATACCCTTTTCTTTTTCAGCGCATCAGTTGAGTCATCTTTATCGTCAGTGAAGGTGATCAGCCATATTGACAACAGAGGAAGGATGACACACAGACCAATCTAAAACACACCGAGACAAAACAGCAGAAGCGTCATCAGTGCATGTTTTTGCTGTTCTGTTCTTATAAGTTCCAGTTTTCTAAGTACTGGACATTTTTCAACAGCACAGCTGTTAAGCTTTCTACTTTCATGACATTGAAAACAAAAATGTTGTTTGCGCATATATTTGGATAGAGGGAAGGTACAACATTTGCTTTTGCTGCAAATAAATGGATTTTGGGGATTAGTATGTTATAGCAAAGTTTAAACTGACTTAATTGTTTCACGATTTTGGCTTGTAGATGCTGTACAAACCAAGAAAACCCAACCATGTTCTTGTAGTCTGGTTCCCTGACCCACCTGAAATGGGACAATTTGTAGACTTTGGGGAATTGTAAGGTAAGAAAATCAGTCAAGCAGGCTTGTATCTCGTCACAGCGATTGGGAAAAATACAAGTTTTCTTAAAAATGCCACCAGGATGCACGATTTTACAGGATGCTTAAGACTGTCATTTCCTAACAATCCAGTAAGTTTTTTTCGCTACAATTTGATCATTTCGTTTTTTGATGTTTGCAAACATTGTATCTTCCCTAAAATCTGCTTAGGCCTATATAGCAAATCACTGTCAGCGACACTCCGCCAACAACGTAACAACCGCGTTCTTATGGTTGGACTCTTATGTTATTAAACAAAAACTGGATAGGTCCTACAATGCTGTCCGCAATACAAGGGCCTCATTTTACGTGGTTTTTAATCAGGTTGAGATTTAATCATCTTAATTTTCATACGATAATGCAATGCTTCATACTGTTGTCAAGTGAAGCCTCCTTCCTTAAAAATTCATATAGCTATTTAAAAAAAAAAACCGGTATGTGGGGGTAAAAATAAATATGTCAAAGCCCTCTGCCGGGCCAAGGAAATCATTTTCCTTATACCCTTTGCACAAAACCTCACAAACCACCAAACCCTGTCAATCATATGCCTGGAAATTGGGTCCTGCCAGTGTTCTGTGCGTCCACCGCACCAACTCCCCCACCAAAAAAAATCCGATCATAATTTCTGTCATTTCCCCTGTACCGCTGAAAATGAGATCGAATTTGCTTCGGGGTATAAGGTGTCGGGCAAAACCCAACATTGAATTTACATAACCCGACGCAAGTTCATCTAATGAATGAGGATTTAGCTGTTAACCCTAAAAGGGCCGTGGCGGAATGCGCCCACCCGCCCTTAACATTATCCGCGGTACCCTTAAAAAACAATGTCGCGACCCGAGCTGTTCTGACATTTTAGCCTCGTGTCTTGCGCATCTTTTGATACCAAAACCATGAAATTCGGATCTGAATTTCTCCATATACGTAGTATAACACAAAGCAAAATTACCATTCTTTCACATGAATAATTAGTTACCCATAATTCAAAAACCCTTCGACCTATAGTCATGAAGTTTCTTGGGTATGTTCATGTTAATTTGTTTTATGCATGTTATACCGAGTTTCTTAATTTGTCGTCACTCGATGGCCGAGATCTGGGGAATCCCCCCCCCCCCCCGGCTGTGAGATGGTCAAAATAACCCGGCCCTTTTAGGGTTTTCCAAATATTATGAACCTTCAACTCATGAGTCATGACGGCCAGCCGTCCCATCCAGAGCTCGCTGAGTAGATTCTGTACGGCAGCTTGCGATATGAAGTCTTTACTGATGGCAGCAGCGGCGATATCCAGACAGGTAGCACCGCCCCACTCTGGCATGATACGCACCAACAGGTCCGATGTACGCCGTCTGTCCTCCTCATAGCACATGTTTAGGATATCCACGGCGATGTGCTGGAATTCCCTGAGAAACGACCAGGAAGCTTGATTATGTGATTTCAGATAACTAGAAAACATGTATCATTTAACCCTAAAAGGGCCGGGTGGGGCGGAATTCCCCCCCCCCTCAACTTTGTCCGCGATAGCCTTGATTTTTTTTTTTGCGACCAGAGCTGTTATGACCTTTAAGCATTGAGCCTTGCGCATCTTTTGATACTAAAATCATTGGCCGAGATCTAAGGCCCCCCCCCCCGCCCCGGCTGAGAGATGGTCAAAATAACCCGGCCCTTTTAGGGTTAAGTTGCCAGGATCCTATGGTAGTCGCTTTCTCCTACACAATGCTGAAGAAAAACTCCAAAGATATTTGTTGCCTATTTCAACAACAGAGAAATTGATGCATGTAAAAAAGTGAAACTTCCCTATTGGAAAGTGGTTTCATTTGTTTGCAAAAAAAGGTTTGTTAAAACAGAACCACATTATTGTCCGGTCGGTAACAATTCGAAATTTCTAATTTGCAAAACTGAACAACTTTTGCATTGCTAGAAAAATGGCATATTTGTTTTTCTTCTAAAATCGCAATTTGAAAATAGCACGGTGAGTTCATCTGGAAAATATCGACTCATGTTTTGTTTGGCCTAGAAGTTTAGTAATACGGTCTATTAATTCGGGCGATTCACAGTGCAGTGTTCCACCAAGAATTTGCCATGGAGAGTTCGTTTTTCCCAGTGCATTGTGGGAGATGGTCGACAAATTCGCAGCGCGGGATATTTGAAATTGCGAGTCTTTCTGGTCACTTTGTTTGTAAGCGTACGATTCGAGGATCTGTTTACCCTGTCCTTTTCTTCTTATCAATATGGTGGTTTTTGTAAGGCGGCAGACACTATGCTCCAACCTATAACAAATTAGATCAAGTTGTCTTCTGACTCTCATGCAAATGGACCATGTTTTGTCGACCGTAAACCTGAAAAATGGACTCTCCATGGCAAACTCTTGGTGGCGCACTGCATTGTGAATCGCCCGAATTCGTAAATAAGTACAAAAAGATTTAGGACTACAATTTGGAGTCCCCTCAATATATGTATTTGCTGACAAGCCAAATGTGGATGAGGTTTTATGAAACTGGCTGACTACTCGATTACAATGCTATAATACATTTATTTCAATCAAAGTATTACTTGGCATGCTGGTACATGTTCGCCGCTTTTTGTGCATCAGTTACTTCCTGTTGGTTGGATAATGCCTTCAGGAGCTTGCTTGCAACTAAAGCGCCTCCCACCGACGGCTTGCCAAGCTTCCAAAATAGCTTAGCCAATCGGATACGATCCTGAAGCACCGCCCACAAAAATAACTCTTTATATGGGTCCTCGAAAGTTTTCTCTGCAAAAGCATGAATGTAAAACAAAAGTCGTTCAATTATGTTTTTTGTGAGAAGTGCATACTTACAACTTCTGCTCAACGAACCAGGCACTCATTTTTTTTTCTGAACAGCGAATATTGTATACAACATGCATGACCGTTTAATACTCCACGCCTACATAAATGGCCAAAGAGAGGAATGAAAAAAGACAATTTTGTAATTTCTTTGAAGAACAAAAACAAACTAAAATATGATAAGGCTATTTGAAAAGTCTGTCGTGTCGTTCTGCGATATTGTAATATTTAATTGTTGGGTAAGAAGAAGCTTCAGAGCCCCACAGATACGCGAATATTGAACTTCTCACCTTTTTTCTTCTTTGCTTTGTAATGTGTACTGCAACTCAGATAGTCTGTGTCATAACCATCACATATCAGCTCCTGAAGGAGACACCCAACGTCTCCCAGACAAATCTCCGGCTGATCATCAGAGACGGAACAAAGTTCAGCACTACGGCTGAAGCGATTCACCTGGGTCACGATACGATACGTATCACGATACATGCCAAACGATACGATACGTATCACGATATACATTGAAAATCACTGAAAATTGAAGTTCCCTAACAGTCAGTATTCACACAATTCAATAAATAAAAACAACAAAATAGTGGGTAAAATCAGCGAAATTACTGCTCTCTAATAATGCATGTGCAAACCTGCCAAACCAGTACAAAAATGATAATAGAAAATTATTTTAAATTATTTTTCACCATTTTTATTCATACCCACAAGTCTTTGGAACCGGGCCCGTGCAAGGAATGAACCACCACGTCCCATTTCAATTCATGACGGGCACGTAACGACATGACAGAATTGCTTCATGACGGACACGTACCTGCCAAGGCAGGACAATGTGTCTATTCGCATTAAAAGAATTGGTGCATAGAACGGAGATCATTATGGACGCATATACTTTCCCCGAAGCTATGCCACTGATGTCATGTACGAAGGAAATCACCCTGCATTTAGGCCTGGGTAATCATTTTTGATGGTTAGCGAAGTGTGGTGTGTCTTTTCCTGCCGTGTATTATTTCCAAATGCCCCATGCAAAAAGCGCCCATCAAATATTTCAAAAAGTCACCTATTTTAAGAAAACTAAAACAACTTACCCTTTTCTTTTTGAACCGTCTTAGCATTGTCGACACAACAGAGTCTTTGCTCAGCTGTGGTATAAAGGAAGAACATTTCCTCAAAACATTATCAACCCTTTTTTTTTCTTCATTGGATCCCCATCAAAATCAAAATGCAATTGGATTTAATTAAGGATCTTGTTGGAACGTCAGCAGCAGCAACAACAACAACAACAACTACTACTACAACAACCACAACTACAACAATAACGACAACTACAACACCAGCAGCAGCAGCAACTTTCAAAACCTTGGATTTAATATAGGGCTTCTAGCCGTTTTTATCATTCATGTTGCTCACCTCTCCATAAAGTTTCCTCAGCTCATCGAATGACAGGAAGTCCTGCATATCAACTCTTCCGGCTTCGATGAAGAACTTGACAAAGTCGTGCTGGTCTTCGACAAGAGTTAAGTGTAGTAATTCCTTCACAAAGCTGGTGTCCTGTAAAAAAAAAATACGCCGCCACATAGCTACTTCTGTTTGTGGTAGGCCTTTTTGCATCAAAAGCAAAGGATTTGTTTAGAACAAGGGATCTGCGGATCGCACGTTTCGCCTTTTTCCGCGGTCGATATTCCTCTAATTTAAAAATGTTGTGACATTTTGCACGCCGACCTCAAAAGACTCCAATCTGACCCTTGACCTCCATTTTGGAAGAGTTGCGATGAACCCCCACCCAAGGATCACTCCAGCCAAGCTATATCAAAATCCATCAAATTCAGTAGACCAAGACACATTTGAAGAATATTTGAACAATGATCTCTAATGACCCCTACATGACGTTTGACCTCAGTAATTCGATGACGAATTGTATCTTCGCACCCAAGGGATACTGCAGCACCATTAAGTTTCATCAAATCCATGAAATCATGTAGAAGTGAAATCATGGACCTTTATCATGCTGCCCTTTCTAGTTGTAAATTAAAAATTGTATAGCAAGAAGTGGATCCATGTAGAATTTTGGTTGGGTAGTTCGACCCCCATCCATCCCGTACCAGCCGCGATTTCTTTTTCTCCAAACAACATACTTTTATGATACGTACGCATGTATATACTACTACCATGAATTTCCAGGGTTTGAGAACAGTGCGATGGCTAAGTTGGTATGGTCGTGATTTCGTACCGTGAGGGATCCTCGAAATACGGGTTAGAGTTACCGTTTTGAGATCTAATCTGAGGCTTTGGAGGTTTTTTTAAGGGAAATAAAGCCCAAATTTCGTTATACGTTCGAAGTCATTTCTTTTTTATTTAAGTTCATTTTTGTGATGTTTTAAGAGAATTAATGCCCAAAATTCCATAGCGTACACCCCATGCGGGTGTCGTTTAGGAATAAAAATTCGCCGGCCCCCGCTTGCTCATGGCAACGGTTGTTAGACGCGGCATCCTATGTTCATAATCATAGATTACGAACCTGCCAAATCTTGCTGGTGGTTCGCTCAAACACAGACTTGGCAAGGTATATCCGGTCCCAGATGACAGCAAGACTCATCAACATCTGGTCGTTGCTTTGCTGTCCTTCACTGTTTGCTGTAAAGAGAAACATGGCTTAAAACGTTCCTGAGTAAAACATAATTCCATTGTTTCTAAACCCAATCATAGGGCCTGCCCTTACTCTCTGCTTAACGCGGGGGAGGGGGGGGGGGGGGGAACTAAGCCGAACTGTGCACCTACTAAACATGGCAATATTCAAACAGGAAGCAATGATTTTTCCGACTGAGTAGAAGAAAACGTTTGCCCTTGTGACAGAATTGTGAACTTTGTGATAAAAAAAAAACACATGAAACTTCGCATGTTGGTTCTTCATGCAATGAAAAAAAAAGTTCCGCTCATTCGTCTGTTTCTGGTCGTTCGTGGGAGGTGAATTCGTCCTTGGAGTCGTCCGTCGCTGCAGAGCCTGCAGTCCTTGCCCGTACGATCTTCTTATCATGATGTTTTGTTAATCATTGTGTACACTTGTTAAACCCTTTTGATATGCTCGAAGTGTTCGCATTATTAAATCACACTATTTTTTTCTTCTTTGTATATGGGTGTTTTCTTGTTTCATTAAATTTCTTTGTTGCATCTGAGAAAATTCAGGCCTTTTGAGTAATTTACATTCATGGATAGTTTGGAGATTTTCGGGTCGTATCAACCCTTTCTCAAAAATGATATTCTCACAGATATTAACTATTCATGAACAATAGGATCTCCCTCAGGAATGATTTTGCAATTTACTTATTGAAATTTTTCTTTTATTTTTCTCCCTTTTTGTTTATCGTTTGTTAATTTGATTCCCCAATGTGCTTTCTCCCTCGCCACTTGCCTGCACACCGCTCGCCTTTTACAGAATTAAATCCGTGGAGTGACTAGAACCCAGGTGTCGGTGTATAAGAATATTATTAATTCATTCACCCTCATCCGTCAGCTGGCCCTGGCAAAGTGCTTACCTTCCATTAATGCATCGAGTATTGTACCATCAATATTGTTCGCATCTGATACGAAAGTGATAAGGTGCTTCTTTTCGATAAGGCGTTCAATCTGCTCTTTGATGGGCCTTGCCGCTTGAGAGCTTAGTTGGAATTCCTCTCTAATACACTGTATGGCTTCTTTGTCGAAGTCATGATCCCTGCAATGTGGACACAAAGGAAAAGGCATTTTGAGCAATTGATTTATACTACCTGAAGACATGGAGCTGAGCGTCGCAAAAGCCACTTCATCTGCCTTCCACCTGAATTGAACACCAACAAAGCGCAACGCCAGCTGACTTTCACCCTAAACGGGTCTCCCCTGCCCTACAACCCAGATCCCACCTACCTCTGGGTTAGACTAGACTGGCAACCCACCAACAGAAACATCTGGAAGCCCTCCTTACTAAGGTTTCAGCACGTAACAACCTCCTGCGTCGGCTAGTCGGATAGTCATGGGGTGCAAGGACATCCAACCTTCGAACTGGTGCTCTTGCCCTCGTATATACAGCGCTGCCGAGTAAGCCGCCCCATTATGGGGCCTCTGTGCCCATGCCGGGAAGCTTGATGTGACCCTCAACGAAACCATGCAGATCAGCACTGGCTGCCTACGCCCTACTCCAATATAGACCTCCTGCCTGTTCTTGCAGGCATCGCACCTGCAAAGCTTCGCAAAGAGTGCCTCACCAACTGCTTGTGTCCAAGGCTAAGGCAAACGCCGATCACCCTCTGCACCAGCTGATCCAAGATGCTCAACAGCTTGGTCGTCAACGCCTGCCCTCTCGCCGCCCATTTTCCCGTCATGCTGTATAGCCCTCTGCAACTTCAACATCGCCTTGTATAGCGCGTGCATGGAAGGCTGACTGGGAGCAGACTGCCCGACCTGACCAATTAACTGTTACCCCCAACACCACAGCCCCACCCAGCTCAGACCTGCCTCGAAAGGAATGGGTCACCCTGAACCGCTTACGTACAGGAGCCGGTCGGTTCAATGCCAGCATATCTCGTTGAGGCCTACGTCCACCAGCAGCCTGCATGTGTGGAGCACCACAGCAGACAGTACAGCACATCATTAACGAATCCGCTGCACTTGGCCTCCCCCAGCTGACATGTTGGACCTCGTCATTGCCTGCAAACTAACAAGAACATGGCTTAGACAACTTGACGGAAAACCTTGACTCTTTGCTGCCTCAAACGAAAGAAGAAGAATTACGACATCTGCTTGCCCATTTCCATCAAGAATCTCAGCCAGATCTTAACAGTCAAAGCAAGTTGTGTTTCCCAGGACCTACCCTTTCGGACACCGTGCTGTTCGTCGTTTTAGACATTGTGATCATCGAAGTATTTCATTATACTGGAGTACAATTATGGGCTCGAAGAGCTTGCAAGGGGTAGATGTTTGGAGATATTGGTCGGTAGTTTGCAGGATCAGAGCGGTTTCCTTTTTTTTTATTGGAGACACGTCGGTTAACAAGTCTTCAGGCAGTTCCTCAGTGCATAAAGACTTCTGAAAAAAATATGCTGCAGGAGCGGGGCAACACTAGTAGCAGTGGTTTCAGATCTTGACGTAGCTTCACAATGCCTTCAGTTGTAATAGTAATTGGCGATATCGAGGGTGTTCCTGTAGTTTCCAGTGATGAAAAACTATTGCAGTCTTCTTTGGACTTGGTTTTTTAATGCACTCGCCTCCTCAAGACAAGTGCAGATGTATAGCAATACCATTGACTGTTTTTAGTGCTGATACACCGGTGGAACTTTGTCTTAGGCTTTTCATGTAACTCCAGAAAGGTTTGGTGTTATTTATGGCCAAGTTTTTACATACATCGTGAAGGTACTCACTACGTGATTTCCTCAGGCTGCGATCTGAGGTGCACGGGGGCTTCTAAATATTTCCCAATCCGAGTCCAAGCCGGTCTTGCGAGCTTTATTATAAGCTTTGCGCTTATGTCTGAGCATCTTTTTTATGAGAGTGCTTTAACCAGGGTAGGCTGTTGTTTGGCTTAACCATTTTTGTAGGGATGTGTTGATTCACTACAGAAGTCAAAGCTTTTTTCAAAAATAAGCCACAGCTGATTTACATATGAGCTGTTGTAGGTTTCTCCAGTGATAGACTCCGCATACTTTATGAAGTCCTTTTGTATTTGGTCAAAATTCCCTTTTTGTACACGAGAACCTTCCTTCGCGGCTGTTTGGTTTTCTGAGATGACAAAAGAAAATCCACTGACACTATCTCATGATCTGAGGCACCAGGCAGGATGTTTACATTTTGCATCAATGAGAGAACAGCTTGTAAAGACCAGGTCCAAGGTTATCCTCTCTAGTTGGGTTTAAAACAACTTGATGCAGGTCCTGGTTATGAGTTAAGTCGATCATCTGCTTTATTATACTAACTGCGGGATATCTCCCTCCTGTGTTGAAACTGATTCTATCCCAGCCCACGTCTGGAAGTTTATGCATTTCATAGACAGCAGTGTCCTATTTCATTGATGTAGTTTTCATCAATTTCAGTTTCTCCAAAGTGTTTTCTATATATTAAGGCACAAATGTAAAGTGCTGGTTTCCCCTATACATGCATGCATACTGGACCTAATCTATTCACAATCTGTCTGTAAATCAGGTTCTTGCCTTGCGATTTAGTTTGTCTTCAAAGCCAAAAATACACTACCGTCTGTGGTTTATGTTGTTCTATCCCGGAAGATCTGGTAATGCGCATGCACAAATTAACTTGAGTATTTTGCAACCAAGTTTCCGTTCCAACGACAATATCTTTTGAGACGTCAGCTAGCCTCGCACGCCCTCTATGACACAGTAGTATTTCTACAGACACAATAGTATTTCTATAGACTCTGTAGACACAATATTATTTCATGGGAAATGTATCTCATCATCGATCAACCAAAACGAATGTTGACTTACGAATCATGGTGCTCCTTTTGCAGGAAACTGATTTCATCCAGTACGAAGGCCGCCCCTTGGGTTTTATGAAAGACAACGATCGGAATGTTGTGTTCGGTGGCATCCTCAAGAGTATCGAAGACCGTGACGTCACCGCCGATGAGGAGATACACAGCAGGAATTCTTGCTGGAAAGTGAGAAATGTAAAATAAAACAACACAAGTGCAACTTAACAAAGGTAGTTCAAGGTGAAATCGTTTTAAACCATGCGGTTTGGACCTTCCAACTGTTAACGTGTGAACTTCACCCACAATTCAATCAAATTAGGCTTTGTCCTTCACCGACGTTTAAACACTGTATACTCAGTGTGTTACCTCCCGAGTGGAAGTTGGAAAAATCACTCGGGTGGGACTCGATCCCACGACCTCCTGCTTTCTTGTGCAGACGTCTTACCACTCGACAACCGAGTTAACGGGATCGGTTGGCTAGATTCGAATCTGATGTACATAGCAGCTGGTACCGCATAAACTATTTATAAGATGGATTTTTTTCCCACCCACCATTGCTGTCATGTGTTCCTTCTATCTTCATAGTTGATATCTTGTTGATCAGTCGGTTCCTCGCCTTGGCCTCGATACCACGTTCCTGTCCTTTGTCATCCACTAAGATGAAGTGAGTATGATTTGGTTCCAGTTTGAGACTGCTCCCTTGTGCAGAATAGTCCAACTGTATAACTGGAATACACTATATAAACGCCCGATCAATAAACATTGGTATCATCTCATATTGATGGTGAATGCGACAATGAATTCAGATTTTCGGTTGGAATACAATGTATAAGGTTATCACAAACATCATAATAAGGCAGGAATTTAATACTGGTCTTTTATTCTTGAACGTTGTACATACCTGTTTATTGTGTTGTTGTCTAAACTTCTCTTTTTGTTTTAGAATACCAAGCGGTGCTACGCCCACTGCCACGAGATCTCTGTTCTTGATTATAGCGCGACCAGTAGCATGCTCAGCCAAAGCCTCTCCGATGCTCTTTATCAATCCACGCTGAAGTCCACTCGTGAACAACCAAACATCTGCAGAATCAAGAACGAAAATTGAAAATTGTGCACCCATGGGCGTCGCCAGGATTTCTTTTATAGAGGGGGGCACAGCACGTTATTTCCCCAAATCCTTTGGCGTACGCACTCGAAAAATAATAAAGAGAATATGCTAGAGAAAGTACAAATGTTGTTAAATGTGCAATAAATTAACAACAATATGAATTCGCACATCATCTTCTTTTTTCCTTTTTTTTTTCTTGGTGGGTGCTTTTCCGGGGGGGGGGGGGAAGCGCCCCCTTGCCCCCTCCTGGCGACGCTCATGTGTACACATTTAATAATTCGTTTAATCACAGTACTATAGGGAATTCATAAAAGAACTGAATTTTGTTTAAAAAGTTAACGCAGTTGGCTTATTACTATAATTATAAATATCAAAAATATAAGGTATTCATAAATACCTAAGACAGTTTACGCATTCCTATTGGTTGAGAGCCCGTCACGTGGCCGGTCTTAAACGGATGATAAAGACATGGCTAGCTAGTCTAAAACACTTTTCCAGTGTCACAGGAAAAATTGACTCTCATGAAATCCGGTGCATTTTAACGTTTCATTGGTTGAACCATTGATCTCCATTGAACGTTCACATTCCTCACGTATGCATGCGCAATACTACCAGTGAATCAGTATTTTATGGTCCGAAATTCACACTATACTAGCCCAGCTGCGTTTTGCGCGACATCACGCAGTACGCGCGACGCGTTATAAGGTAACGAGATGTGGAGGGGCATTCCATATTATATTATACAAATATAACATGGTTTGAGGGTGGACAGTCGATATTCGCTCCCCGAGGTATTGGAAGTTGACAAACTAGTTCCCGAGGCGAAGACGAGGGAACTAGTTTGTCAACTTCCAATACCGAGGGGAGCTAATATCGACTGTCAACCCGAAATAAACCATGTTATATTTGTTTTACTATACCTCATACAAATTCAGTTGCCGAATTTTGTTTTATTATTATGCACCTAAAACAAAATTTGGGGAAACTTGTACAGCTCATCAAAAGATTCAACTTCAATTACTAGTTCGGTTTGTTTGCAATATAATACAGTTACTACAGCTGTAAATACAGTTATTTGCAATGTGTACAACTTTCTTTTGTACAGGAGACATCTTTACACGGTCTATACATTTTCTCCAGTACGGCATCATTGAGCTCTGGAAATTAACATTTACGCGAACCGTGCAACCATGCATCTCTCCTGTGCGATGTTCGCGCGCGCGTACTGCACCCGTGCGACAGTTCCTTGATTGCTCTGTAAAGCGCATGCGTAGTAGACTGTCGCACGGGTAACCCATGCGACAGTCTACTACGCATGCGTATTTACTATGTGCGTGAATCCTCGCGCGCGCGTTTGGTAAACAGCAAGAATAACATCTGGCACGTGATGGTGAATTGACCAGTGAACGTTCGCCTCTCGATCATGAATATGTATGAGGTATAGTAATAATGGTTGGCAACGTCTTGTTTTTGGCTTGTTTTGATTTTCGGACCGAAAAGATTTGGGGGTTTTTTTTAACGAAAAGGTATTTATGAATGGGAATAGATATGTGTTGAGTCGGTATTAAACACTCTGTTTAAGACCGGTTGGAGTCTGGATGGGTGATAATTACCCTCGGCTTCGCCTCGGGTAATTATCACCCATCCAGACTCCCACCAGTCTTAAACAGAGTGTTATAATATTGTGTTACACACATTTATTCCCTTATTAAAAGTCATAGGTTCCCTGATTAAATAGACAAGAAAGGTGAAACAAATATGTATCTTGGAAAACTATATTATACTGGAATTTAAACAATAGTAGGGGGGCCAATGTGTAGATTTGGGGTTCCCGTCGAAATTTCATGTTAATTTATGGCAACCATTATAAATGTAATCTTATGAGTCCTGAGAACAAGAAAATTGATGTTGCCATTTTTTCCATTGACCTTTAGTGACCTTGACCTGAGGTCAAAGTTCATGGGTCATTTTCACCTAAAATTTGCCTTTCGGAAGGGTTTGCGAAGATTTTCGAGGCAAGTGAGCACATATTGTATTTGGTTGAGAGTTTCTCCGTTATAATAAATTTTATTATTTATGTATTTATGGGTTTTTTTGAAGAAAACATGGGAAAATGTCACTTTTGCCTGAAAAAAGCTGGGTTGTTTTGACCATCTCACGCAGATTCCGCCCCCCCCCCCCATGACCTCGACCATCGAGTGACGAAAAATTATGAAACTCGGTACATGCATAGAACAACATAACATGAACAAACCCAAGAAATTTTATGACTATGGGTCAAAGAGTTTTGGAATTACGGCTAATTAATTATTCATAAGCACGTATGGTAATTCAAATGTGTACACTACGTATATGGGGAAATTCAGTTTTGACGGAGGGTAGCGCCGAAAATATTTCGCTGCGCGGCAACCTGTGGTTCAAATTTTATGTTTTTGGTATCAAAAGATGTGCAAGACTCGAGGCTAAAACGTCAGGACAGCTCAGGCCATGAAATAAATAATTTTTTCAAGAGTATCGCGGAAAAAGTTGAAAGAGGGAAAATCCACCCCCCCCCTCCCTTTTAGGGCCAAAATATGACCAACCCTTTAGTGCCTAGCATCTAAATATGAAATGTTGTAAAGTGTCCTCTGCAGTACCGCACTCACACAGGGTGTTTGTCGGTTGAGGAAAATCCCCACTTCTTTTGGTGCGAGCCACTCCAGAGCGGAGGTGATTTAAGCACCTCCAGGTCTTCCATCCTGCATTGGATCCTGTAGGTAAGGCTTCTGCATGCTTGATGATGCATCTCATGTAGTGGGGGAGACGCCACCAGCCTGGTCAACCCAGGAGGCACTCACTTGGGTCTTAATAGCAGGATTGATCGCTTTCAGGTGACTCACAGTGTAGCACTGCTGTGACTGGTCAAGAGCATCGGTCAACGTCTTCCCTTGGGGGACCGTTCCTTTGAAGACGTACTCTACTCTGCCCTTGAATACTACAAAGAAACGATGGTTCTTCAGTAGAACACCAAAGGGTCAGGTCTGCCGTCATGTCCAGGATCTTCTGAAGGAGTCAGCAACGGTTAACACTGTCAAAAGCAGCTGTAAGATCAACAAAGACAGCACCGGTGATCTATTTTTTTCTTATGAAGCAGTCCTTAATGTACTGAGTGAGATTTAGAAGCTCTCCTGTTGCAGATTTGCCGGGACGGAAGCCTGCCTGCCTGTTTGTTCCTGTATCAGTTGTTTCTCAATGAAGAGGCAAGAAGGTTGAGGAGGAAATATTCCAGCAACTTGAATGTGTGACTTAAGGACGATAAGTTTTGACATATATTGGGTCTTTCCCGGGTTTTAGGAGGGCGATGACCTTCGACTTTTGCCACACTTTAGGTATTGTTTGTGTGGCGAGGCAGGTGTTGATGAGCTGGAGTAACCAATTTGAGGCGTTTGGTCCAAGATGTTTCAGTTCTTTGGTGAAAATGTTATCCAGTTTGGTTGATTTCCTGTTCTTCATTTATGCCAGTCGCAAGTTCATTAGCAGAGAAGGATTTGATGAAGCCAATTAGGTCGATGGCGGGGTCTTTCTGGCGGAGCTTGGCTTTCGGTCGCTTATTAGGAGAACGTGGCACTTTACCATTTACATAGCAGATGTTGTGGGCTATTTGGTTGGCGGTGATGTTACAATGCTGTTCACTTGGCTGAGCTTTTTTTTTATATTATGCTCCAGGCTTGGAGGCCATATTGGCTTCTTGGCCATATTGGTGGTTACCACAAGGGTTTGCCACAAGCTTTGAAGCTGTTATGATATGGCTGTTATTAATTCCTCCCCAGATGAGATGGTATCGACAGCAAGAGAGTCATTTTCATACATGCATTTCTATATCCTGTAAAGTTCAGCACTACGGGATGCTAAGCCTGGGATGTAATCAGTGCGGCAGCCCCTAGGGATGTTCATGCACCACCACATCAACAAACCGGTGTCATAGTTATCAGGGGTTGGATCAATGTCAGCTAGATGGTGTTTGAGCTCTTTGGTGAAGCCTTCACAGTTAGAAGTTGAAACAGCGGTGGAATGGAATTGTTGCGAAGAGACAGCAGCAGTCACTTTGATTCCAATATGGCGATGTCAGGTTTTTGGAATGGGGTCAAGGACCATCTTGTTGCTAAGTTAGGCGATGTTGTGGCTCACAAGGGCTAGAGCAGGGTTGAAACTTTATCTCCAGCCTCCACTGTGGAAAACTTCGACAGTTTCGCATTGTGCAGGCATGCAACTGTAAACTCACCAAAAAAGAGGAAATTCCTAAATTCAGAAGACTTTGTACAGTGATTTTCAATTTTGAATGGCAGAAATGAGAATAAAAAAAGAGGAAATCAGCTGATCTGAGGAAAAGTTGCATGCCTGATTGTGAATAAGGCTCAGTTGACTTGCTTCCGCCAGCGATTCAAAAGCGTCGACGTCTGTGCTGGAATGATAGCCAATGATGCTGCTGTGGCTATTAAATCCCGATAATTATGCGTGGCTTTGGCTGTTTTGTGGATTGTGGCGGTGGCATTAGGATGGAAGACCTGGAGGTGCTTAAATCACCTCCGCTCTGAAGTGGCTCGCACCAAACGCACCATGAAGAAGTGGGGATTTTCCTCAACCGACAAACACCCTGTGTGAGTGCGGTACTGCAGAGGACACTTTACAACATTTCATATTTAAATGCCAGGCACTAAAGGGTTGGTCATATTTTGGCCCTAAAAGGGGGGGCAGATTTCCCCCCTTTCAACTTTTTCCGCGATACTCTTGAAAAGTTATTTATTTTGCGGCCTGAGCTGTCCTGACTTTTTAGCCTCGAGTCTTGCACATCTTTTGATACCAAAAACATAAAATTCGAACCACAGATTGCCGCGCAGCGAAATATTTTCGGCGCTACCCTCCGTCAAAACTGAATTTCCCCATATACGTAGTGTACACATTTGAATTACCATACGTGCTTATGAATAATTAATTAGCCGTAATTCCAAAACCCTTTGACCCATAGTCATGAAATTTCTTGGGTTTGTTCATGTTAAGTTGTTCTATGCATGTACCGAGTTTCATAATTTTTCGTCACTCGATGGCCGAGGTCATGGGGGGGCGAAATCTGCGTGAGATGGTCAAAACAACCCGGCCCTTTTCGGGCAAAAGTGACATTTTCCCATGTTTTCTTCAGGAAAACCCATAAATACATTAATAATAACATTTATTGTAATGGATAAACTCTCAACCAAATACAATATGTGCTCACTTGCCTCGAAAATCTTCGCAAACCCTTCCGAAAGGCAAATTTTAGGTGAAAATGACCCATGAACTTTGACCTCAGGTCAAGGTCACTAAAGGTCAATGGAAAAAATGGCAACATCAATTTTCTTGTTCTCAGCACTCATAAGATTACATTTATAATGGTTGCCATAAATTAACATGAAATGCCAACGGAAGTACATTGGCCCCCCCACTACAAGGAGTTTTATACATTAGGCACAAAATCGGAAAAAAAGAGTCCACAAGGAGCCTACTTGAACGAATCACAATTTTAACCTGTAATACTTATGTACTTTTTACTTGTTTAAACTATTAGCACATTTTAAATGTATTGCGCACTTCAAAATAAAACCGGAAAATGACGTCAAAAGTAAAACAAAGCCAATATTTGAAATTGCCAGATTTTCAATTCAATTTGGGCGAAAATGTTACTAAATAACCTGCAAAGAGGGAAACAAGTTGAAGTACAGCACGTTAACCCTATTGGTTAGCAAATGAAGACAGCTGAAACTGTACTTATTCTTTGTCGTATCCAGCAGGGGAACAGCCAGCTTGCCTCCTCCCCCAGTTGAAATTTGGCCATTGTTTTAAGGAAATGAAAGCAACAACACCTCACAACCGTTTTTACAAACGTAACAAAAGTTTTGAACCATACTTTCTGAAAATGAAGTATCAAGGCTCCCCCGTCTCAAAATCTATATATACGCCATGAGTCTGTAGTGTACTCACCCGTACTCAGAACTGTCTGAACAAGACCTTTACAGATTACTTTCTCCAAGTCATACTTCATATCAGAATCTTTACCCCCTAGGATGCAGATGAGGAGCCTAGGAAGTTTCAAGGCCCACTGGGATCTCAGGCTGTCCAGGATGACATCTTCGCTCTCAGACGGGACGATCGTCATATACTGGTACGATTAAAACAAGATAGTACATGTATGTGAGGGAACCCAATCAGCACTTTTTCTTAACCATTTGTTCGTCCCCATAATTTCCTAATGATCTATTCGTCTTGCTCGAATGACTCAGAAACAATTACTTAAATACCTGTATCGGTCAGTGAAGATAACATAATTATTATAAACGATACGCGGCCTCAGATTATTTTGATCTGAAAAGTATAGGCCGTAGTCCAGACAAAAGTCTTTGCTAGAGCCCGGGCTGTAGCCCTTTTTTCCATTTGGGCTTCATCTTTGAAGAACTCCTTCAAAGCGGAATTGATTTCCCCTTTATAGCTATTCTCTCGCTATCGCGCAAATTCCCTCCTCCAGACTGCTGTTTCTTTTTTGTTCTTTCTCTTTTTCTCTTCTTTTCGCTCCAAGTTTGGCAGGCACGCTTGAATTCATTTACGCTCTGCATAGAATTCAGATAATTGTTCTTGTCTTTGTTTCTTGTTTGTCCTGTCATGTTTGTAAATTGTTTTTGTTTGTTTGTCCTGGCATGGCAATATAAAGCCTTTGGCTTCTGCACATGCCACCATATTGCTGTTTTAAAAATGTATTATTTGTTAACGAGTCGTAGATTTGTAGATTATCTACATTACATGTTGGTAAATTTAGTATGTTACGGTTCCTTACTCGTTTTAATGTTTTATTTTTCATAGACTCATTGTTCATTTTGTACAATAAATAATCAGAAATGTTAAAATAAATGTTTGCATAAATGAAAAAATGAATCTTTTCCCGGTAGTTAGATGTCGGACCATACCAACCAATTAAATTGTTCTTAGAATTTAATCCTTCATCTATTCATTTCTGTTTCTGTATAGTAAAAAAATAAGAAAACTAACGAAACTGAATTAATCCGACAAGAGACATCTAAAACTTCTCGATTAGCGTTCAATTTAAAGATGCATTCTACAGCTTTACATCACACACTACTTTTAGTTGCATTAATTATATTCGGATGTCATTTAAGTTAAAGAAGATGGAAATTAGGTTTAAGGAGTACGTTTACCGGTTTGTACTTGACGTCCATATTATCTGCAGACGTTCCGAACCCGACGAGCCCTGTAGTAGGAGATCCACCTACATCACTGGAGGTCATATTCATTTCAATGTCATCGCTGTGAATGCTGAGGAAAGAAATAACATGCACACCTCACTGCAATAAACGTTTCTATAAGTACATGTACTTTTAGACCTGTAATTATACAGGTCTAATGCAACTCAAAACATTTGCCTATAGCAAAAAACAGGGATCGCTGGATAATTCCAGGAATTTTTGTGTACAAGCATTAGATTCACTGTGTGGACTTCCGAACAAAAAATGTCTGGACGTTCTGACCAGAGCGACTTCTGGGGTGATCGAACAAAGGGAACAATGCCACCCTACTTTTCCTTCTTTGAAATCCAGAATTCTGGGGTGAAGTTTTTTTTAGAAAAAGGACAATGGGTCCACAATGCCATCACCCCACTTTTCCTTCTGATTGGACCGCATAAACCAGGCAGCAGCGACGTTGATCTGTGACACGTGCCTCTGGAGACATGTGCACAATAAATAGGGAACAAAAGATTGTATACGTCTCCCTCAGGGCAATTTCTATAGGTGAATACGTCTCCACAAGGTTATCACAAAATAGATATATTGATTTTACTCAAACACTAGGAATTTCCAAGGTGTGTTGATCCGTCGCAAATTGAAGTATTTTATGTAAGGGATATTAAATCCAAATTTCAGCTCAGGAAATTCATTCTGGTTAAAATAGGAGCATTTTGAAAGTACACTTTCAAACTCGAAAACTTTAGTACACGAAAACAAAGAAATGACTTTGAGTTTTGAGTTAAGCAGTGTTTTGAGTTAAGCAGGGTTGTATATATCAATGTTACTCCCTAAATTCCAAAGAGTGATATTAGGGACTAGACGTTTTACATTGAAAATCACTCTCATTTTCGATTGACATAGTCTAAAAAATGAACCACTTCAGTCGAAGCTCGAGTGAAACCTCGATCTTTACGATTGAAGAAATTTCACTCTAAAACGTCTAGTCCCTAGTTTTCGACTGTGGGAGTGAATCTTCACTCAAATGGAGTGAATTTTCACTCTTTAGAATTTAGAGAGTATACTTCTGAAGGGAATGCATTCTTTGTTTGACTTAACAGTTGTTTTGTGTTATCAGAGTTTGACTTATCGAGATATCACTTAGTACAACATTAAAACACTGAATTGGTATCGGGCCATATTTGGGGAAATAATACCTTGCGTACGAGCCAGGACGAATGGCTCTCATGACCCCATCATGAAGTCGATGGATAAGTGATCCAGGACTGTCCGGGCCGTCCATATCGCCATCAACCAAACGTCCCCTGAGGACATAATGATATAACAGAGTATTTATCTATTAAAATTATCGAAACGCATCCGTGTGTAAAATTCAATCATCATTTTACCTGTTTAGTTTCAAGCTTTGTCTGTACAGGGTGGTTTTTAAAAAAAGGACACCCACATTTGACCGAAATTTTCACCTATTTTTAAAAATCATTTTAAATTGTCGATTAGTAGCTATTAAAGTACTGGCCTTTAAGCAAATGTGACGAAAAAAATCGTTGCTTTTGCACATTTTGTCGTTGAGCTATGCTAATTTGAACATTTCATGTGCGAAACCTGTTTGTCCACAGAGGTATACATTCCCTTCGCTTGACTGAGCTCAGCTATCGGAGCTTCTTTTGAAAGGGCATGCCATTTGATTGGTAATGTTATGCAACGATGAACTTAAGCCGACAGCTCATTGAGTAGATGATCTTAACACTGTCATGAATAATTGGACAGCTTCAATAAAAGTTTCCAGGGCAAAATATATTTTGGTGGGAAGGTTTTTAAATTTTTATGAACTACGAAAACGTCCAATTTACATAGAATAACCCGTGGACAAGGCTGATTTTGGTGACTTATATTCAAATTAGCATAATATCACTATTTTTGCGACTTTCACTAAGCTTTTTTCACCATGCATGGTTAAAGGCCTATACTTTACTACTATGTGAAAAAATATTTGAAATAAGTTCATTAAGTAGGTGAAAATTGCTGTCAAAGGTGGGTGTCCTTTTTTTTTAACCACCCTGTATATTCATTACCAGAAACGTGGTGTCATTCAAGGCCGGCGGAAGTTAAAGTCTTACCGTTGCTTCAACACGAACATTTCCTTTTTTTGCAAGAGCAACTTCTGGGTTTTGTTTTTTTGTTTTTTGGTGTATTTCTTGATTCAGTACCATGACAGGCCATTATGTTTATAGCAAACACTTTTTGACAAGTGAGCCCAGTTTTAATGCTTCATAGTGTGTTTCAAGGCGATATCAAAGGAATTTCAAGGCGATATCAAAGGAGCCCACACCCGTCCTCCGTTGTCTGGAGACATATATACAATGTTTATTAAAACTTTTCAAATTGCAGGCCTAATATGGAGGGAATTGTGAAGAAAAAAAAGAAAAATCACCGTCCGACTTTATAGCTCTTCCCAAACACTTTTTTTACCAGGACCGGGGATTCGCCATTGGATCCCCCATCCACTTTTTCGTGGTGAAAAACAAAACAGGTGGATTTTGAGGTATTTGTCAAAGTTCCCTAGTAGACATAATCAAAATCTATACTATATTACTTGTACAGCATTTTTGAAGTGCGCCGTTTTGGGGCGTAAGTATAAGATGTACATTTGTATCATGAATAGCGCAACCTAGTGTCGTGTGGTGTCCAGCCCCCTCCCCCTCCCTCCTTTCGAATTCCCAAGCTGGTTAAGTGTTTGATATAGTCATCCCCCATCCACCCAGTCCCCGCCACAAATTTACGCCACTGACTTTTACTGAACGAAAAAGTACATCTTGTATTCCAAAATGATGGAAGCGCTTCGTAACATGTCACACTGTTGACGTAAAAGCAAACTTACGTCGAAGAATTTCTTGCAACTTCGGTCATTTTTCACAGTTCGGCCTACAGTCATTGAGCATCTCGAGTTGCTTTGGGCAAGTTGAAAGCCTGTTAATGAAAGTAATGGTTATTACCTTGTCTTCCGCAGGCCAGGAATGTGAAATTTTTCAAATTAGTGGCTGTGCCGAGGTCACCATGACTAGGTTTTTAAGTTCTGGCAGGAGCTTCTACAAGTCCTTTTGGTGTTGGTCGGTCGGTCGGTCCCCCAAAAATTTCCAAAAAACGACACCCCTAAGTTTCAAATAAAATACCTAATAAATAAATGAAATGCTTCACAAACTTTGTTTTCGTGAATTTATTTGTGAAAAAGCACGAAATATGGTATGGGACACTTAGGGGCTTATTTTGGTCAATTTTCGGGGACAGATATTGGCGCAGCTGATTTTTGCGATGGAGGCCTGGCCGGGCGGCGATTTTTTTCTCCCAAACGACATCCACATAGATGGTTGCTTAGCGCTCTCTACGATACTTTTATGATACGCACGCAGGTATATGATTATTTGTTTCCCCACGTTTTGATGAGCAGTGCGACAGCTCAGCCGATAGACGTGAGGATTTTGCATCGCAAGGTTGCGGGTTCGAATCTCGGTTTTGCACCCCAATTCTTTTCCTTTTCCTGAGGATTTGGAGGATTTTTTAAACGGGAAATAAAGTCCGAATTTCATAACGTTCAAATTCACTTTTTTCCCCCTAATTTCCTAATTTCTTCTCATGTTTTTATAAAAGTTAAAGGGACACTAGGTCCTGGAACAGCCCAATTGATGGACAGTCTAGTACGTACGGTTTAGTAGAGGTATAATAGGAAAAATCACCATGTCCCTAATACAGCTTCGCACAATACAGACTTTGAAACAAAATATCGTTTGAGAGATTTTTCAGAAAACTGAGTGACAAGGACCTACCTGATGTTTGTCAACAGCTCAGCGGCGGCCACTGTGCATGTGACAGACTTGTTATCGACCGAGGGCTTTTATGATGGTTTTTACTTCACGGTTTGTGATCACCAATGTCAACCAAATTGTTATGCAGAACCGGATCTTTCTTTGATTTTTTTTTTTCTGGCGGGAGGGAGGTCAGGGATTCCATTATGAATGGAAAGGAATTCTGGCGGTGCGTTAACTTTGTCTGAACCCGGATACATGCTTTTGTGATGATGAAAACCTATAGTAGCCTATACCTAGCTATAATAATGAAAGAAACGAAAGGGAAAGCGGTTTTCCTGCCAGGTCTTAAGTTAATTGTGGTCAAAGACCGGATTTGGAATTTTTCGTCACTCATATTTTGTTCAACAAATTACTTTATCGCACGACAGACGAAAAAAGACTGAATGGGACCCCAGTTAACTGCTTCAAGTCATTCATGCCCCGGTTTTATTTTGTAATCGGACGAGTCTCACCAACCTTTTAGAAAATGGAATTTGGAAAATGGAATCGGAAATTGAAACAATATCTTTTGTGTTCTTCTTACGGACAAATTTGAGGGTAATGGTGGAGATCCCACTTCCCTGAACATAATGAAGTATGGACATCCCGATTCGGTTGAACAGAACTCTTTGAAAACTAAATAGGTATTGATCAACCTTAGCTTAACACAACCAGAACAATAATTCATCAAACAAGAATAAGACAAGCACTGACATAAGTAAGCAAGCACAAAGCGCAATATAGTCCAACAACGACCTAACCCGGTTTTTAACCGTTCACGTACGGGCTCTTGATGGTTTCTAGGTCTTTTAGACCTGCTGATTCCGAATCCGTATAATGCTACCTCGGCATTCTTGAGGAAATTGAGGTATCTTAAATTGCCGCCAAGATGGCCTTCAGCATAATATACGTGCTACTTAATAGGCCCTTTCTAACAGTGTGATATATAATCCAGTGTTTTATATTTTCATATTTATTTTAATGGTCACTCAAAGATTGGCCCACTTTCCTTTTTTGAAATCCAATATGGCTTTCAAAATGACGTCCACGTTTGCCGTTGACAGGACGTACGGGCAAGATGTCCGACGACCGATCACCCGGTTTTACAATTCAAACATTTTTTTTCGGGGGAGGGTGGTTTCTTGGTCTCTTATAACCTGCTGATTCCAAAACTGCACGATGTTACCCTTTGTTCTCATATATCAGAAACACTAAATTGGCTACCACCTCAAGACAGTATCGGTGACCATCACTGACGACATCCTTTTTAGTTATGGAAAAGATCTTTAAAATGTGTCGTTATGAAACTATATCGCCGTAGAGTAAAGTTTGATACTATACACTAAAATCAATCAAGAACCAAAAGTAATGATCTGGTCGTCATTTTCTTGAAATTTATTATCTTTGCTGATCGAGGCAGCCATGCATCTTAATTGTTGGCGGACCAGTCTGCATAGGGTTATTACTTTTTGACTTTAGGGAGGCCAAGTGACCGGTGACAAAACCCTATCTGCTGCTGCTGCTGTTTTGCCATAGTCCTCAAAGAACCGTCGGCATTCTCTTGTGTGCCTTTGCTCTTGCCACGGCCATTCCTCCATCCGTCCACTTCCTGATGTTATCGATCCATCCTGTTTTCCTACGTCCTGGCCTGGCCTTCCCTTCTACTTCTCCTTCTAGTGTCATCTGCAATAGGCTATCTGATCGGCGCTTCCAATGTCCATACATAGACAGCTTCCTCTTCCTTAACTGGGCAAGCAGACCTTCCTCTTCTGAAAACCCTATCTACCTTTCAGCAAGGATGGGTAAGTGCCCTTTTCTCGGCTACCCCCCCCCCCCCCCCCCCCACACACACACAAACAATTTGTTTTACAACAATTACCTTGCTACGCCACTGAAAGGCACAGAAACTATGAAGAAACCATGCGTGAACAGTGAAACCCGGTCAGGGTTAAAATAGGTATTTAGCAACTGGAATGCAAAGGTCGGTGCACTACAGGTAAACAAAATTAAACGCAGCATAAAAACGGCTAGCAAAATACTCAAGGTGTCACCAAGAGTGTTGGTAGAATATATTCAGGAATAAACATTATTGCAAGACAAAATGCAATAAATATATCTTTAAGAATCTGCTGTTGAAACTTAACCTTTGTATGTTTTCTATAAGTTAATCGGAACTATAGTATAGTATACATACTATAGAGAGTCATACACACATAAAGTTCTTTAAGTATCAACATGTTCAATCATTTGAAATACTATCTAGAGAGTGCAAATAATAATAATCATGATACCAAATAATAATGTATATTTACTGCGCAAGCTACATCACATTCGTATCTCAAACATGAAAGCTGATCCATTTTTTTTGGGGGGGGGGGGGGACTTGACCACATAATTGCAGACGGTTTTTTCTTGATTACACAACTGCATGTCTTAATACCTATCTTCGCCATGCAAAGCCTCAAATCCATTTTTTGGGATGAATCTCGGAATCCGCCGTGACCAGGAACAATTTTCAAGAGTGAAAAAACAGTGATCCGAACCACGAGACGGGTGCATGTCAAAAGTTTTGGAACATTTTGCGAGGGCTTTCAAAGGAAACCATAATGTTGCGTCGAAAAACAGGCAGATGCATTTTCACAATTTTGTTTAAAACAGTATTGATATCTAATATTGAGCTCATATTTCAGCAGCTTAGTTTTGTATCCTGCATGCATGTTTCAGTTTTGTTGTATTATTGTTTCTTAAGTCGGCGAAAACACTTTTTTTTGTGGTGTCCATTACCTTTAAGATGTCGCAAATTCTCAATATCACCGCTTTTGACTTTCAAGTCCAACGTAGAAAGCTTGGCAGCCTCCTTCCCACAATAGACCATTAGGCCAAAAAAAAAAAGTCTCCGGTTTCTGGTATGCGCGCGCGTCGCCGTAGCCATGCGCGTCGGCAAAATGAAAAAGTTTTTTTTTTCAATGAAAGATGATGTCTCAAACCCGCCAAACTCACTGGTTTGACTGGAATCCTGCTGCTGCACAATTTTAACGTGTTTTTAGATGGGGTTAGGATCGAGAATAAGCTTTATGTGGCCTCTCTGGACTCCCATATATTTGCAGTAAGTTTAGTCGGGCACCATTTGCAGTCATCAGCCGACATTTGAAGCAAAAAAGTCGGGTAAAAAAAAAAAAAAAAGCCGCGTCGCCGCACCACTTTTTGGGCAAGCTCCATACCAGAAACCGGAGACTTTTTTTTTTTTGGCCTTATCATGTTGCGGCCATCGTGATTTTTCCCCATTCAAATCAACGTAACGAAAGCGAGGCTGGAAGGAAAATAGTCTGGTTTCTTTTGCACAAAAAACACACATTATCATTCAGTACCATTGGCGTCGCGAGGGGGGGGGAGGGGCACTTGCCCCCCCCCCCCCCGGAAAAGCAAAAAAAGACCAAAAAAAACAAAAAAAAGGAAGAAAAAAGAAAAAGAAAAAAGAAAAGAAAAAAGAGACGGGAAGACAAAGTGGTGTAAATTTAATGAGTTGGGGGCGGGGGGGGGGGGGCAAAATGTCCCTGTCCCCCTCTAAAACTGATAAATCTAGAATGTGTTGAGAAATACAAGCATTTTTTTGGCAAACAAAACTTGTTTTGCCCCCCTTTAGAAAAAATCCTGGCGACGCCCATGTTCAGTACTGTTATTGGATACAGGGAACATGAATGAAATGTTACCAACCTATATACTGTTGACCGACTTGGAAACAAACTGTAGTTAGAGAGATTGCCCAGAAAAACTGAGTGACAATGATTTGCTTGATGGTTGTCAACAGCTTAGCGGCGGCCACTATGACAGACTTGTTATCGACCGAGGTCATTTACCACTGGGGGATTCAATTTCACGATTTGTGATCACCAATAGGCACCAAATTGTTACCAAACCGGATCCTTCCTTTGAATTTTTTTTTTGGGGGGGGGATTGGGTTGGCATTCGCCTCTCAAATGGAACAGAATTCTATTATGAATGGATAGGAATTCTCGAAAGTGCATTCAGTTTGTCTGAACCCGGATACAGACTTTTGTGATGAGCGCACGTGAAAACAAAAAGTAGACGCATAATAATGAAAGAAACGAAATGGAAAGCGGATTTCTTGCCAGGTCGAAGACCGGATTTTGATATTTTTTTTCGTCACTCATATTTGTTTCACAAATTTCTTTATAGCACAACGAAAGAAATAGCCATAACACCGAAAGGGGACCCCAGTTTGGGCTGCTTCAAGACATTTATGGCCCCGGTGCTATTTTGTAATCAGACGAGTTGCACCAACTTTTTGTAAAATGGAAATTGGAAAATGGAATTGTAAAGTGGAACAATCTTTTGGGGTGGTTTCTTGGTCACTTTATTAAACCTGCTGATTCCAAACCTTTTTTTTTTCGCATACATGTACTTCAAAACAAGTACATGTAAATTGCTTATTTGTACTCTATAAATATTACTGATCATAATTATTTTAAAGGCATATAAAATGAGCACAAATATACAACGTATATAAATTGCATAAAGTCATTCTCCTTGGATGCCGAGATGGCATCACGCCGATTCGGAATCGGGAGGTTTCAAAGGCCTAAGGGCCCGTCACACTTCTGCGTATCCTAATTCCTTATGAGTTGCGCATTGACATTTTTTTCATACGCAGTCGTACGCACAATACGCACCTCATATGCATCTCTATCGTGTTGTGTAGGTTTTATGTACGCAGATATACACATGGTACGACCCAGTACGCAGGATAGTTTTGGGCATGCACAAAACTAAGCTGCGTACGCTGTTACGCAGGTCATAAGTTATAAATACGCAGCGCATCGGTCCCGCATCGGTCGAGTGCGTTACGAGTACGCTATGTGTTCGTGACGCACCCCGTCAGCATATGAGCCGCCTGTATTGGACGTATACATAGCGTACTTGCAGCGCAGATGCAACGCACGCTGAACGGCGAGCGGCAGAAATGCGGCGGGAATACGCTCAGAAGTGCGTCAAGCATGCGGTCGGCATAAGTCGGGTGCGTCCGGAATACGCTCGGCATGCGCACTGCATACTGACCTATTC